TGGATGTGCTGGCTGGCAATAGCTCTTATCCTCAGCTGGCATGAACTTTAGAAAGGGGAGCTTGTGCTTTCAGTAGCTCTGCATGCGGGGAAACTGTCTACTGACTCAGTTTCTGCTTGCTACTCAGTTATTAACAGGGCAGGACCCTGTTTTTATTTTTAATTTTCCAGGTGTTTTCTGGACTGCTGAACGCGTGTATGAGAAAGAGACAGAAATGCGGGAAGGGAAAGGGAGGAGAATAGGAAAGTTGCTAGAACCATTTCTTTTGGCACATTAGGTAGCTTTGTAGCACACGATCCAGCTAACATACATGATCCCTGAAAGGAATTAAATGAGTCATCATGAAGGCTGTAATTTTAACTATATAGTCTTGGAAGTGAATGAACTGTGATTTAATTTGAAGTATACATGCTCCTTCATGGATCACTGCCCTGTCGTGGCCAAGGGGCTTGCGTAGCTCAATGAAGCTATGAGCTATGCCGTGCAGGGCCACCCAAGATGGACAGGTCATAGCAGAGAGCTCTGACAAAACGTGATCCACTGGAAAAGGAAATGGCAACCCACTCCAGTATCTTTGCCATGGAAACCCCATGGACAGTACCCAAAGGCAAAAAGATATGATTTCGGAAGATGAGCCCCTCAGGTTGGAAGGTGTCCAATATGCTACTGGGGAAGAGCAGAGGGCTAGTACTAGTAGCGCCAGAAAGAATGAAGCGACTGGGTCAAAGCCGAAAGGACACTCAGTTGCTGATGTATCTGGTGGTGAAAGGAGAGTCCGATGCTGCAAAGATCTATACTCCACAGGAACCTGGAATGTAAGATCCACGAATCAAGGCAAACTGGATGTGGTCAAGCAAGACATGACAAGAATGAACATCGACATCTTAGGAATCAGTGAACTAAAATGGACAGGAATGGGTGAATTTAATTCGGATGACCATCAGGTATACTACTGCAGGCAAGAATCCCTCAGAAGAAATGGAGAAGCCTTCATAGTCAATAAAAGAGTAGGAAAAGCAGTACTGGGATACAGTCTCCAAAATGACAGAATGATCTCATTTCGAATCCAAGGCAAACCATTCAACATCACAGTAGTCCAAGTCTATGCCCCAACCTGGTGCTGAAGAGTTTGAAGTTGACTGGTTCTGTGAAAGCCTACAACAACTTCCAGAATTAACACCAAAAAATATTAATGTTATCATCATGGGGGATTGGAATGCTAAAGTAGGAAGCCAAAAGATAACCAGAATAGCAGGCAAGTTTGGCCTTGGAGTACAAAATGAAGCAGGGCACAGGCTGGTAGAATTTTGTCAAGAGAATACGATGGTCATAGCAAACACTCTTTTCCAACAACCTGTTGCAAAATTTAGACTTAAATTGGAGAAGGTAGGGAAAAGGACTAGGCCACTGAGGTATGACCTAAATCATATCCCTGATGAATATACAGTAGAGGTGACAAATAGATTTAAGGAATTAGATCTGATAGACAGAGTGCCTGAAGAACTATGGACAGAGGTTCGCAACATTGTACAAGAGGTAGCAACTAAAACCATCCCAAAGAAAAAGAAATGCAAGAAAGCAAATGGCTGTCTGAGGAAGCTTTACAAATAGCTGAGGAAAGAAGGGAAGCGAAAGGCAAGGGAGAAAAGGACAGATACACCCAACTGAATGCAGAATTCCAGAGAGTAGCTAGAAGAGATAAGAATGCCTTCTTAAATGAACAGTGCAAAGAAACAGAAGGAAAGAATAGAATAGGGAGGACCAGAGATCTCTTCAAGAAAATTGGAGATATGAAGGGAATGTTTTATGCAAAGATGGGCATGATAAAGGACCAAAATGGCAGAGACCTAAAAGAGGCAGAAGAGATCAAGAAGAGGTGGCACGATTACACAGAGGAACTATACAAGAAAGAGCTTAACGTCCCTGATAACCACGATGGGGTGGTCACTGACCTCAAGCCAGACATTCTGGAATGTGAGGTCAAATGGACCTTAGGAAGTCTGAGCAACAACAAAGCTAGTGGAGGCGACAGTATTCCAGCTGAGCTATTCAAAATCTTAAAAGATGATGCAGTAAAAGTGCTACACTCAATATGCCAGCAAATTTGGAAAACTCAACAGTGGCCACAGGATTGGAAAAGGTCAGTTTACATGCCCATCCCAAAGAAGGGCAATGCCAAAGAATGTTCAAACTACCGCACCATTGCACTAATTTCACATGCTAGCAAAGTGATGCTCAAAATCCTACAAGCTAGGCCCCAGCAGTATGTGGACCGAGAACTACCAGAAGTACAGGCAGGATTGCGAAGAGGGAGAGGAACTAGAGATCAAATTGCCAACATACGCTGGATCATGGAGAAAGCTAGGGAGATCCAGAAAAACATCTACTTCTGCTTCATTGACTATGCTAAAGCCTTTGATTGTGTGGATTACAACAAATTGTGGCAAGTTCTTAAAGAGATGGGAGTACCAGACCATCATATTTGTCTCTTGAGAAACCTATATGTGGGTCAAGAACCAACAATGAGAACTGGACACAGAACCACTGACTGGTTCAAAATTGAGAAAGGAGTTCGGCAAGGCTGTATACTGTCGCCCTACCTATTTAACTTATATGCAGAGCACATCATGAGAAAGGCAAGGCTAGGTGAATCACCATATGGAATTATGATTGCTGGGAGAAATATCAACAGCCTCTGATATGCAGATGATACCACTCTCATGGCAGAAAGTGAAGAGGAACTAAAGAGCCTCTTGATGCAGGTGAAGGAGGAGAGCACAAAAGGAGGAGAGCGCAAAAGAAACTCAACATTAAGAAAACTAAGATCATGGCATCCGGTCCTCTCACGTCCTGGCAAATAGATGGGGAAGAACTGGAGGTAGTGACAGATTTTATTTCCCTGGGCTCCAAGATCACCACAGACGGGGACTGCAGCCAAGAAATTAAAAGACGCTTGCTCCTGGGGAGGAAAGCTATGGCAAACCTAGACAGCATACTAAAAAGCAGAGACATCACCCTGCCAACAAAAGTGCGTATAGTCAAGGCTATGGTTTTCCCAGTTGCAATGTATGGCTGTGAAAGTTGGAGCATAAGGAAGGCTGAGTGCTGAAGAATTGAGGCCTTTGAATTGTGCTGGCGGAGACTCCTGCGAGTCCCTTGGACTGCAAGGCAATCAAACCGGTCAGTCCTAGAGGAGATCAACCCTGACTGCTCTTTAGAAGGCCAGATACTGAAGATGAAACTCAAATATTTTGGACACTTAATGAGAAGGAAGGACTCACTGGAAAAGGCCCCAGTGCTGGGAACAATAGATGGCAAAAGAAGAAGGGGACAGCAGAGGATGAGGTGGCTAGATGGAGTCACTGAAGCAGTTGGTGTGAGCTTAAGTGGACTCCGGGAGATGGTGGAGGACAGGAAGGCCTGGAGGAGTGTTGTCCATGAGGTTGTGATGGGTCGGACATGACTTCACGACTAACAACAACAATACATCCTCAGGTTTGGGATAAAAATATTCCATTTTTGTAGCCGGCCATGTCTCCTTTACTTGGAAGTAGGTCTCATTTCCCCCAATATTATTTATTTCCAAACAGCTCTGCACAGGATTGCAGTCTCAGTCAGAACTAGCTTTTCCAGAGATGCTACCATAATAACATGTACACAGTAGACAGTGAGGTTTGTCGCTTTCAGACATGCAACCTTGTGGATGATTCATGGGCACAGATTCTTCACAGTACAGAGTGCTTATTTGGAAATGGTGGTTGGCATATGATGCAGAATATAAAGTTTACCATTCACAATCTGGCCCACAAAGGCAGTTCATTCTTTGTTTCACATTTGGCATAGATAATTTTTCTTCTCAATCATGGAAAAAGTATGCCTGGTGCTTACAATTACTCATTTAAGCTGTGTTTGCCAAATACATATTTTAACTGGAAAAATATAGACCAATAGAATTGCCACATTAAATCACAACACCCAAAAATGTGATAATTGGTCTTTTCCATGAGTTGGAGATTTGGCGAAGAACCACTCAAATGTTTCTTGGCCTACTTTAGACATTTTTCCTGGAACAGTGATCAGTGCATTTGAATACACATTGAAATTGGACTGAAGTAATTATTCACTTTTCTCAGGTGAGAGGCTTATTTAGAATAGTACACCTGGTTGAATGGAAGATGCTAAACCAATGTGGTGTTTGCATGACATGGGAAGCCAGACTGCTGCATTCTGTCTTAGCAGCCACCCTACCTGTGGCGCACCTGGTAGACAACTGGGTGTATTGCAGATAGGATGCAATGTGCCTCCCTCTTAGCACACCTGCATGAATCCCACAGGACCTCGCTGTGGCTGTGGCAGCCAGTCCAAAGGGCAGGCTGCCCTGGTGTGGAGGCAGTCATGGTTGTGGATTTGCTCAGCCAAATGATGGCCATTCCTTTGCCCTGTCCGCAGCACTTGCCTGGCCGCTGCTTGGACAGAGGGGCAAGGAATTGCGCAACTCAGCATGCCCAGAGGTGGCCTTGAGGCCTCCAGCCAGCCATGGCTTGCCAGGCTGCTACATGAGCCCAGATGCTGGGTTTAAAAAACATCTTGGGTCAGCTGAGGCAGATGGGCTTCCTGTGTAGTGTGAACCCAGTCCATGCCTTTCATTTTTTTGTTTCAAAGAAAAGTTTGTGCTTGTTTGGTAACTCTCATGGCTCGGGCTGATACATTTCTTCACAAAATCAGACACAAATAAGACGTGAACATTTCTGGAGTTTAGGTAGTTTATTGTAGTATACATTAGTTTACCTTGCAAGGTATTCAATCCATTAGAACATTAACAAAAAATAATTCCCCGCTCCTGCAAGGTTCATTCAAAAGTACAAGAAAATACCAACGGGTTCCATTCTGAATGAATAATTTAACAGTAACACAGTTTCTGTACAAAAGTGCATTCCAACATACAAAATATTCCACTTGAAGCAATATATGTTTTTAAAAGTAAAAAAAGCCAGCAGAGTTTATACTTTTTCACTAGTATTCACTGGGACAGGGGTCTCTATTCCTCCTTCCTCCAGTTTAAATCCTCCATTCATAGTTGAATATGTTGGTTCTGGTGTTGATTCAGGTTCATTTTCTTTCTCTGTTAAGTCTTTCTTTCCATCAGCAAAACACTTTTTGTGCACCTGGTAAACTGATAACATTGGCACGATATGTCAAAAGATAGAATTGCGGCAGGCAGGACTGAAGAAAGAAGCCACAGGAAAGCAAGGTGCTTCCCAACTTTATGATTTCAAAAGATTTGAGACTTTATGATTTTGAAAGTGTGTCAGAGAGGAACCGGGCTATACTTGCTTACCTAGGAATCAGCCTCAGAAATCTTAATGGCTGGGTTTGCATGATCACAGCAGGGAAAGAGGCCACGGTAGCTTCCCCCACTCAAATGCCATTCACGTGCTGTGCCGTTTGCCCAGTTACCCCTCATGGTGTGCAGCTTCCTGCATTGTCCAGACGTGGTGAACTGCATGGCAGGAGCCACTTACTGTGCGGTTCTGGGGTGGTTTCGAAGCCACCCGCTGTGGTGCACTTCACTGGGTTAGGATTGCATGGGAAGCCATGCACCTGAGCGTATAAGGGAGATGGAGGCATGCAGTAAGGTTGGGAGTGAAAAAGAAGCCACCCTTGCTTCCTTCCTGGCCTGGCCTGGCCCGTCGTGTGCAAGCTGAGCCAATAGGACTTGCTTTCGAATAGGATAACACTGTTGGTAACTTTTACTTCAGCTACTTATTTATTTTTATTTATTTATTAAAACATTTTTATGCCGCCCCATTCGCCGAAGCCTCGGGGCGGCTTACAACAATAAGTTAAAAAATAATTATAATATTAAATTAAAAAATATAAACATTAGGTTAAAAATACAAAAATACCAATATAAAATAAGCCGCCCTGGCCAGATAAAATCCAATAATATTAACAGTTAAAATGCCGCTTAAATAAAAAGGTCTTCGCCTGGCGCCGAAAAACAAATAACGACGGCGCCAGGCAGACCTCTCTGGGGAGCGCATTCCATAACTTAGGCGCCACCGCTGAGAAAGCCCTCCTCTGAGTACCCACCCTCCTAATTTCTTTCCCGGAGGGTTCCCAGAGAAGGGCCTCTCCCGCCGATCTCAAGGGGCGGCCGGGCATGATACGCTTTTAGGGTGGCCACATGCAGAAGAGGACAGAGCTTTTACATCTTAAGCAGCTGTGTGGAAGAGGGAGTTGCATGCCAGCTGAACAACACCTTGTCAAGCAACTATTCAAAGTGCAAGAGCTCTACCTCTTCTGCATTTCTGCACAACTGGCAACTTTCTTGCAGGGTCAGGTGTGCGTTTTGCATTAAGCATCTAGCCTGCATTTAAGAAAGCCTGCTAACTTGCACATGGGATCTAAGGCATTTTTGGGGGTCCAGAGGCATGTGGTTTGCAGTGCCGGAACTGACACTGGGTAGGTTCACACATGTTGGCAATCCTAGGAATAAGCTACTTGTTATGGAGATGGGTAGAGACCTGTTCTCCGCTGCAGAGGAAGGCAGGACGCACTCCAACGGAGCAAAGCTCAGGGAACCCAGGTTCCATTTGGATGCCAGGAAGCACTTCCTGACAGTCAGGACCCCGAGGGTGTGGAATGGGCTTTCACGGGAGGTCGTTGAGGCCCCATCGGTGCGGGTGTTCAAGGATAGGCTGGACGTCCACATGGTGGGCATGTCGTGAGCGGAGCCGGCTGGTGCCGGAGGTCAGATTAGATGGCCTGGGAGGCCCCTTCTGACTCGCTCTGTTTTCTATGTTTCTATGTTATTGGATGGGTTAAAGGAAAAGACAATAGATAGATGGATAGATAAAATGCATAGGGTAGCTTACTTCCTAAAAATATGGCTGCGAAGCCTAGCTGGAAAATACTGTAGAGGAGTGGAAAGGTAAACATCAGTTCCAGTTGTTCTTGGGTGAAGGAGAGCTGTACTATCGTTGTGCACAGCTGAGTATTCTGCAGCCCTGTTTCCAGAGCCACCGTACGACATCTAAAAGAAGAAACATTTGTTTTTGTTTTTAAGGAAAGCATAAATGCTGAGTCCATACCGCCCAATTGGCCGCACCATTGTCATTATTTTATTGATAAATACTGTGCAATGAGATCGTTTTCCCAGGAGTTTCCCTACCCAGGAATCTACAACCTAAAACTGACTGACACAAGCAGAAGGCTGGGGAAGTGTAGGAGAGCCCAGAGTCAATTTCATGGTGTTCCTTCACTTATTAAACCTTGAGCAAGATGAAAATACGTTGGAAGGCAGGGACAAATGGCATTTCCTTCAAGAATTCAAGAGAACCTCCCCACTGAGCCTCCAATTGCTCACTGGCATTCTGAACACACTTCTTGAAATTGGCCATGCGCAGCTTTGCCTTGAGCTGATCTGGAGCCAATTATGCAATGCATGAATGTGTGACTGGTATCCTCTTGCATCAATGTATTTTGTGTCGGTGCACATTGCAGAAGAAAGAGCGAGAGTGACAGAGGCGCTAAGTTGCAGATGTAGCAAAATGTGACCTTCCTGACTCTCCCGTGGGTGGCACATTAACTTGCTGCTTCACACATGTGCGTCATGGGTGCTCATATCAGAATATGTATCAAGGTTTATAAGACTGGGAGTTGTGTGAGATCTATATATGATTTGCATTGCATTACCTGATGAGCCCACTCAGGTCAACTGGCCTTTGGCAATTTCTTTTACTGTACAAACCAAAGAAATGCCCTTGGCTAATCACGGACTGCCTTCCTAGGAGCATTTGGCCCTCAAGCCATGAGGAATGATCTGACAGATTTGCTTATGCATGACAACAGATGGACATAACTTGCAAAGTGGAGCTGAATAGGAATGCTAAGGGATGCCTCATGTACTCATTAAATGATATTTTTATGGTTTGGGAGCTGCAGAAGAACTGAGCAAGAAATTCAGACTTTTCACTCATAAAAACATGAGCGTTTCAAAAGTTTGTTAAGAGGTTTGTCAGCTTTATTGAACAATCTTTCCTTTCCAGAATATTCCTTTATAGGGTCGTGGTGAGTACACTTGCACACCTATCCCACACACTCAGGGAAGGAGGAGCCAGTGCATCCCCTTATTCCACCTTCTCTGCCCCTCTCCGCCCTGTTCAAATGCACATGTTTACCATCCTGGATGTGATATGAGGCAGACAGCTTCTGAGGCACTTAGAATAAGGGATGTTCTACTCAGTGTTTGCATTTAGATATTGTAGGCGGAGCTAAGAATGCCAAATGTTTTCCGTTTTCTCATATTTGGTACTGATGCCATAATTTGCATGCTGCCTAGCAATATTTGCACAGGGCCAGAGAACACACGATGCGCTGTTAGCAAAAGCATCTCACTGGGCATCTCCTCGTTAAGGCAGCGGCTGGGAACTTCTTTATGGTATGTGCAAGGACTGATTGGAGCGAGAGGCTCGCCGCATCAAGGCGCCCGGCCAACATCCCTGGCTTCGCATGTTGCCTGCCACCCTCTGGGGACAGAGTGCTGCACCACCGCATCCTCCTTCAGCATTCAGGAAGGCACCGTGGGTGGGTGGGTGTGGCATCTGCTGGCAACACCACCATCCCTGGCCATCCTGGCTGGCTCTGCTGGGAATTGTGGTTCAACAAAGCTGAGGACCCAGGGTTGGGACAAGCCATTCCTCCACAACTTTGCTTTCTGAATTAGCATTTTTATGAAATCGTCTTACGGGACTTATCCAGGTGAGGGTGTGGGGAATGCAGGCTTATAATCCAAGTTCACATCAGGTTAGGGTATTTCAGGGTGAGCACACAGCATGAGAAATATTTTTAAAGGCACTAGAACATGGCTGTCCTGCGTCCTAAACATAAACGTTCTGTCTACACACAAAAATAGCGTTTATCTTTGTGGTAGGTCATTGAATTCTGACAAGTTCATTGCTATCTCGAAACATAAAACAAAGAAATATATGAATAACCAAAGGACCTGGCTTTATTTTTTGTGAAAGGAGACAGAAAATGTATTTGTGTTGCAAGTTTTACCTGTGCCAGGGCTGGCCAGCTATACGAGCCAGGAAGAAGCCTAGTGAGTAACCAGCGGCTGGAAAGATGGTTCCAACAATCCAGAGCTGAGGACTGATTGTCCAGGAGCCTTGGTACAATATTCCTCCAACCACAGCTGTGCCCACTATAAGAAATGCTCCACCGATAGAACCAAACTGAGAGAAGAAAAAGAATGTATGCTGGTTTTAATTACACCAAACCTGCAAAAAGCCTTCCACACCAGATAGCCTAGGTATGTTGTATCAAACCTTGCATTTTTGTGGAATCCAGCCATTCCTGATGTTATGTCAGGGGAGGCAGCCAAGCTCTCACCTTACCTTGGGATGCCAGTAAATGTAAAGGCAAATATGTAAATATAAATGTAAATGTAAAAACATGCTCGATATGCCGAGGGCTTGCTCTCATCCTCCTCAATGGTGCAAGGTGCTTACTTGCCCACCTCTTGCTTGGACCAGAAGGAAGAACAGCCGAGCTGCTGGTTCTGTGCTCGCTGGCTCTCTGCCAGGCAAGGAGGCAAGAGGTAGCAATGGCGAGAAAGAGGATGATGCAAAACAGCAGCTGGGGACAGAGGGATGGTCCTCCCTGGAAATGCCTTGCCCAAGGGACCCCAACACTTGGAGTTGCACTGAAGGTTATTACTATATGCTTGCGAAAACTTGGCTTTCTGCCTCATGCACCAAAAAACTTTAGGCTGCCCATCAGTGGACTGGAGGAAGTAACACCTCCTCCCAATGTCCCTCTTTGGGTTTAGGATTTATGATTTATTTATTTAAAGGATTTATAGACTGTTCTATAGCAAGCACTCTCAGAATGGTTTACAGCATAAAACACAGTAATAACAGTAACATCCGTAATAATCATAATAATTTCAAAGATAAAAACCACAATTGATGGGGAAATTAAATACAAATATAAGACATAAAATACAGATCCATTGCAGTCATTCGATCACAATCTGAATAGAAATCAATATAAAATCAAACCATCTGTTCAACAATTAAAATGATGGGAAAATCAAAAGGGTTTGACCTGGCACTGAAATGTATAAAGGGTCAGCATCAGGGGCACTTCCCAAAGGAGTTGGTCCCAGAAATGGGGGGCCACACCTGAGAAGGCCCTTCCCCTCATAGCCACTTTCCTTGCTTCTTTTAGCAGTGTATCATGGAGAAGGGCTTCTGAAGATGATCTTAGGGCCCAGGTAGGTGTATATGGGAGAAGGCATTCCTTTTGATTTCCAGAACCTAAGCTGTCAATGTGAGCACCTTGAAGTGGGCCTGGACTTCAATTGATAACCAATGTAGGATGCTCTTTGATAGCCAAAAATCTTATTGTATAATTCATACAAAGCTCTCTAGGATAAGTGAGAACTGGAGCAAGTAAGAGAACAGGGGTGCAGCCCAATGCATCTTTAGCTGTGGGGAGGGAAACAGTTCCATCGGGGAATGCTAGGCATTCTAAGATTTTTTTTTCTGTCTAAGCCTGCATAGGATTGTGCCTTAAAATAGTAAAGGTGACAGATTGTTATAGTGCAATTTGTACATTGAATAAATTGGATAAATAGGAAAATATTTTGAAATTGGATAAATATTTTGACATTTTTGGAACATTCAGGCCTTACCTTGAGTATTAATTTGGCTTTTGTGGGCCATCGTTGCTTGAAAAATATCCCAAATGAAACTGGAATAACAAGGCCCACCAATGAAATGCCTGGGAAAAGAAGAACAGGTTTACTTGGCTTCAGAGGCATGGGCGCTTTGTCAATTTGAGTGGCTTACTTTCCACATCCATTCTGTCTCACACACCATTTTGCTTTATGTTTAACACAATGGGATCTCTCTCCCCCTCATTTTAATCCATGCATTCTGGGGCTGCATATGTAGAGTTTCCACACAGGTATCAGCCTGATGAGAACAAGGAGAAGGGAGGTCGCCCAGTGAGTGTCAGACCGGGTTGAAGTCCTACTGACGGATGCCCTGCATTATCCCAGTATCATCCACAGGTATTTAGCTGGATGACGAAGAAACCTTTTTCCTCTTTGGTAACACTTGTCTTTTTGTATGTAGCATCCCCTTTCTTTTTTAGGATTAAACATTACTTTTTGCCCTTGGGTGCTACTAAAGAAGGCACTACCTTAAAGCTTCTTTCATTGTTCTTGGTTTTCAGAAAAAGAAGCAAATGTCTTGATCTGCAGAAATGGAGGCAGAGAGAGCAATGCCAGTGTGGTGAATATTGCATGCAGAAAGAGTGCCTTCAAAGCAGAATGCTATTGCTTTGAAGCCAAGTTTGGATCTCAAGACAACCAATGCTGAGCAGAAACTGGATGCCAAAGAAGTGGCTAAAACAAATTTATGGAATTGCTTGGAGTTCACAGTCTCTTCAGAGTTGCCCAATCAAATGTTGTAGGGGGTGCTTAATGCCACAAGTGACAGGATATGACTTTCCAGCCTTCCCTACCATGGATCCCATAAGATGTTTTGGACTATAACTTCCTTCAGCCCCAGACAGCTTGGCTAATGGTCAAGGATGATGAATTTTGCAGTCCAAAACATCTGGAGAGACCCAGATTGAGGAATGTGGGACCAGACTCCATACCTAGAACCTTATAGACTCTTGGCTCCTGAGCCCTCAGATCTCTACATTTCCCTTCCCTGCCTCCTTTATTCTAAGCCCTTTGAGGTTTGCCTCACACCGCCTTTCTCCTTGGTGCCTCTCTTCATTTCCATGTCCCTTCCACCCCATTATTCTTCTCCTTCTGCTCTTTCAAGTCACTGTTTCCTTTGTCCCTTCCCGTAGATGCCTCGCCCTGCTATCATGGTACTGAGCCTAGTCCAGAACCCCTCTGTCCTCCTTGTTAACATCGTCTCTTGTTTCGTTGCCCATATTCCATATTTGCAGTCCTACTTCACATTCTTCCTTCAGTTGCTTTGCCTATGGGCTCTCTGTTCTTTGCATGCGGAAGTTGCCTCTGACTTATGGTGATGCTAGGAGTAAAAGTCCTCCTAAACGCCATGCCATGGCAGCTCTTCTAAGTTCAAGGCTGCAGCTTCCAATCCTGAAGTTCAAATTGTGGAAGACCAACTTCTTTCCTGACAGAAGCTGGACTGCAAACTGTTTAATTCCCGAAGCAGTCGAACATTACTTAACAACACACCATGTCAGGCTATCCGTGTCTGAGGTTTTACCACTATAATATACTATACAATAGAGGTGACTGGATACTTCAAGAACCCTTGTTAGCATCTGACCTACCCTTGTAGTAATCTTTAGCGTAGCTCCTGCATATGGTTTACTTGCCCCCAGTGACTACTAGACCACCTGGCTTGTTCTATTACAGCTGCCTATTGTACTGCCAGCCAGTGGGGACTTCCTGCCAGTGAAAGCGATGCGCACAGCCTGTAGAGCTTTCTTCCGTGCATGGTCTAATGAGTGCAGTCATGGTGGTAAGTTTTATGTATGCAAATAACCCTGCTGGCCACAAACGATACAAACAACCCCCTTGGCAAGCAGCCTGCCCTGGGCTGTTCAGAGGCACAGAGGACAACCTGGTCATCACCTCTTCTCATGCAATGGATTATTGATATAAATGCTCTCTGTCCTTTACAATAGGGGGAATTATGTGCGAAGCGAACAAGAGCTACTTTTAGAAATATAAATCAGCCCATTTGTTTTGATTGTCTAGTTGAAACACTTGTTTAAGGTCATTTCAACTCAGACTTGATTGCCGAACCTATCTTTGCATGTATGAAGCCTTCAAGTCCTTGTAAAAGGACTCACTATTTCATTCCAAAACTGCAGCATATTTTATGCAGGTATTTGTACCATCATTCCGCCTTCACAGAGGATAGAGATTCATAATGCAGAGATGTAGATTTCTTTTTTAGGCAGTATAATCCCCTCCCTTGAAAGAGCTGTGATGACCTTTATGGCTCACTGGAGAAGAGCCATGCATTGATGCTGGCTTTCTCTGGGGATTATCAGGCAACATTGCAAATCTATGACATGCCCTGCTTCCCGAGGACACCCTGCTGCTCCTTATGAAAGGCTAGTCCCACACAACTGCCATATCACATTAGGTTAGCTATAGAGTCTAGAAGGGGGACATTGCAGATTTTTTATACATCTGACTGAGGCAAGTCCAGAACATTCATATATTCCAAAATTAGAACTGTAGAGGTTCTGGAGCGGAGTGGTAGCGTGTTGGCATGGTAGATCTCAGTTGCTACGTTGGATATCACCAGTGGGAAATCGTTGAGTAGGGAAAAGGTGTGGATGTGACTTACCAATACTGTCAAAGGGGATTAGAATGGAGTTGTAGTCTGTCCAAATTTTGGTATAAACAAGGAGGCAGAGTGGCATCATTCCCATGGCCAGCAAGGTTGAACATGTTGTCATACTGATGCTGTAAGAGAACTGGTCATGCTTACTATTCAAATTAAGCCAAGTGCAGAGAAGTTGTTATTGATAAGTTCATGGCTGATGAGTTGAGGCTTAGGCTAACCATATGCTGGTTTTCAAGGCTTTGTGAAGGGTCTGAAGGAGCTACAGAATGCCACATCAAGTGTTTGGAGAAGGGTTTGTCCCTCCCTCTTCCCTAATGGTGCTGCAAGGGCCACAGGAAGACCTTTGGATGCACAAGAACTTTGTGTAAGACTATACTGTAGAGATTTTAGTTTCCATGTAGAGGCAAACTACACAAAGTCCTGCTGTGCTGAATGCAGCTAAACACAAGCTAGGGCATAACCAATAGTTAAAAGATCCCTCCGGCCTTTACTTTCAAGGGCCACCTCACCCCCTCAAGTGGGGCAATGTGCAGAGGGGTGCCTGCTGCAAGGGGGCACTGGCAGCGCCCACATATTGCCACAGCCAATTCAAGAAGTCTCTCCTGATGTTCCTCAGCAACCACAGGGAGACCTTCCAAGGTGCTGCTGTCGCAGTCTACAGTGGCTCATTACGGGTATTTTGCAAAAACAATCAGGCCACCATGGGTGGCTTCCACGGTAGGTGTTGTGAAGTCCAGGCAGAACCACTGTGTTCTTCCGGACAAGGCTTTATGGTGTCACCTCCTCCAGCGAGATGGGGCCCGGACAATGTCATCTCCCACTTCCTCCTGTGTTTCCCCACTCTTCCTCCATCCTTTCTCTTACCACAACTAAGCCACGAAGAAAGAAAAACTGCACGAAACTTTCTAATTGGCAGTGTGAGGAGCCATCTGCCTGGAAGCAGTCAGGGTCTGACCTCTGGGAAAATGCCTCTGCTCTCGTTCAGAGAATAACACTGGTGTCTGAGGCGATCAAGATGGCTTCGGGCACTCTCTTACCCAAGGCGTATCCTGCATGTGCCACTGTATGTTTCTGCGGGCAGAAGCCCACACACAGGTGCTCCACCAGGTATTGCAGAGTGCCTGGGGCACAGCGGGTGTGCTCTGAGGGCTCACTGCAGCAGGACGGGAATGTGTGCAGGGGAGCATTTCAAGCTGCCCCTTCTGAGCAGGGGAGAGATTCAAAGCGACTGGACAGTTCAGCGGTAGCGGGATGAGAAAGAAGCGCAGATTCAGAAATGACACCCAACTGGATTTCACTTGTGTTGGGATGGGTGCTGAGGAAGGGCTCAGATGCAAACCAGAGCAACAGTCCTGCTGTTGTCAGGCACCTATAGAAGCTCCTGGGCACAGCATGGAGGCAACAACCTTGCGATTTGCCTTGAGCACATATTGCCATCGAGCGTGCGATTATGTGCTCTTTTTAAAAGGGCAGATAAGCATTGTCAAATGTATCCTCCATGAATGTGAGTAACAGTTTTAAAAAGCCCCCGTGGGACACAATTAACACTTGGAGCAGCTGTAAAAAGCCGGTAATCACAAGTGGGCAGCAGATCTGGGGTGAGGGTTGTTCAGCACCAATCCTTCTTCTGCCCCCTCAATGCCACCTTTTGCCCCATGGGAAAAATGTAGAGGTGCTGGGCGAATGTTCAGGGAGACTGGGAAAACTGCACAAACCATTCCATTCCCTGATCTGATTTGTCTCTTCCAAATGTTTTAAAGAAAATGTAAACACAAGCTGTAGGAAACGTGGTTGTGGATCCAGAGATCTCATCTTCTTTGGGTCTACGCTTGTGGCCATCATGGAAAGAGTCTTGGTCAAACACTGTATGGTTTCTCCATGGAAAAGCCACTATTTGGAGCAACCATCAAGTATCCCTGTCAACATACCCTTGCTGTTCAAACCTGACGCAGAGGCAGTGTTGTGGAATACAAGATCCTTGCAGATCAACTGGGCCTGAACACAAACAGCTATTTACCCATCCCCGCATGGTTTCTCTATGTATTTAAAACACTTCTATGCCGCCCCGATCGCAACAAAGCCTCGGGATGGCTCACAACCACAACATGGTTTAGTGATGCAGTGGCAATTAATCATTTGAGGTCAACCACCACCAAGCTCGGTGACTGTGCCGTGTATCCAAAAGAACTCACAGGTGTTTTCAAAAGAGTAAGTCCGATCTGAGGAATTTGGAAGAGGTTTGTGTTTCAGCATCGTGACCTGCTGTGCCACGGGGGACAAGTGGAATCAAGGCCTTGCTGCCAGGGGTATGCAAGTCCCAAGCGACTCTCAGAGCAGTCTGGCTCATGGCATCCCCATAAATCGCTTATACTGAAGGAGCCACCACAGAGAAGTTTTGAGTTGGGCACTGTATAGTTTGGGACCACAATGCCTGGCAATGCAGAATGACCCTTGCAGCCAGCATCTACCTAGCTGGGATGCTCAGCATCGGGGAGCTTCTTCCAAATGTTGTCTCTGAGGCAGACTCTGCTGGTAGCAACACAGAAGAGGGCATCCTTCACCCGCCACCCCCACAGCATGCACTTGTGGGACGATCTTCCCACTGAGGTCTGTCTATTCAGCTTTTCGGCACCAGGTTAGGACTGCCCTCTATGCAGCAGCATTGAACACCAGAAGAGCCGTCTCCATTACACCTGCAGCTGTAACTTCCCTACTTATATTAACCTGTCTTAGTTCTTTAAGTGACGGAAAAAATTTAAATCTCTAGTGAAAATTTATTATTTTCTTACTGTTATTTATATTTATACTTTATTGTTGTCTATACATTGTTGAATACTGCCCAGAGAGGGTAGTGCTATTGGGTGGTATAGAAATACATTAATAATAATAGTGTTATATTGGTTCTGATGGCGCTTACTCCCAGGTAAGCATATACATCTTTGCTGCTGCATGCTCTGTTGTGATTTCCTTGCCAATTGTCAGATTTTGTATTGTTTTAATGGATGCTATCCTTTTAACTGTTGTTTTATTGTAAGCCGCTCAGAGAGCCCTTGGAAATGGGCTGGCATATAAAACAACAAAGAAACAAGCAAACACACAGAAACAGTGCTCCTCACAGTTATTTTTGTTCTGCCCATCCAGACTACAAAACCAAGGCACAAACTCTGCCCAGACCAGGCAGCTCTTACCTGAGGTCCATGTCGCCATCCACCCAGTAGGCCAAGATGTTGGAGCCTGTCCCACCGGGACAGCACCCCATGATGATCACGGCCACAGCTTGTATGGGAAGCACACCAAAGACGAGTGAGAGCACAAAGCCGGTGAGAGGCATAATTCCGAACTGACAGAGGAAGCCTACCATGATGCCCCACGGCCTTCGGATGTGTCCTAGAAATTTGTCCAGCTCCACGTTGCAGCCCATGGAGAACATCACCATGGCCAGCATGATGGTCAGGACGGTACTTAGAGTTATGCTCAAAATTTTGTTGAAGTCGCTCTCGGGCAGCAGGCAGGAGGTGCCGTTGCAGACGGTGGCATTTTCAGAGCAGTAGGAAGTGTTCAAAGCTGTCAACACCGCAGAGGACAAAATACCAGACGGTGCTGAGAGGTGGTCCTTCATTTTTTCTGGCAAAGATGTGCTCATGCAAGCTCCTAAGCTCTCTCTAGAGGCCAGTCTGTCTAGGAATCTCATTTTAAATGGCAAAGGGCAATAAAGCACTAGGTAATTCTTGGTCCGGGATGCTGACAAGGTGTAGCACTGAGTACAAGTGCTGAGTCACAGCATTCCACTGGTATGGATACATGGACACAGAAAAGGCAAGGTTGCATGCTAAATTAATATTTAAACACAAGAGCGCTGAGAAATGAATAGGCAATGCATTGAAATTAAAACCTCGGCTTACCTTTGTAGCCAGCCCTTGCTTGTTTATATTTATCTAATTACCAAACTTCCTTTTTCAGTCAGATCATTGAATGATATCTGTCAAACCTTAAAAGAGTATTCAGTCTTACCAGTGCTCACAAGGACAATCCTAATATTTTCTAAATCTAAAAATATAATGGCGAGGAGGCTGGGCCCCCCATTGTTGTATATTAAAAATCTGAACTGAAATTCTAGCTTAATTTTTCATTGTTCTTCCTTTCCTTCTCCCCCACTTTTTTTTTAAGCAGTATGTGCTTCTTTGTATATAACATTTATTATAGCAATTATCTTATCTAGAATGTCATATGATTTTGCTTTGTTGCAGACAGGCATGGATAATGTGCTGGGATTAATGATAATCTTCTTGACTACCTGAGAATATGGTTGATAAAATCTGATTTTCAAAGAAAAGCCAAGATACACTCAACTGTTGTAGTCTACTCTATAAAAGTGCACAGGTTGGGTACAGCATCCGGTGTGGTGGGGCAAGTGAAGGGGGGCTGGGGGTGGGATGTGGGGGCAACCACGTGGCAGCAGACACCCTGAAGTCTGCCGGACCCCCAGCCCACCAGTGCCACTGTATTGCTCCAGCCCCACTTCCAACTAGCAGGTACTGGGAGTGGAGCCATCGTCATTCAAATGGCGGCTTCAGCACGGTCGCCCTGTTCTGCGCGTCGGCCTCAAAGCCACAGGCACTGCCTTCTAGGTTGTGCTGGCTCCGTGCTCAGGTGATGCATCCTGGGGCCGGTGGTGGCAGAGTTCGGGTGTTGGGGACTCTCAGTACCAGGCTGGTACTCAGGCCAGTGCGGCTGCAGAAGGCCTGCCATCCGTTCGGCCGTGGTACTGCCTAGGCATGCATGAGGTCACCTGCAGAGTCCGAAAGGAATTTGAGAAACACGTACCCAGACAGCCCCCGTGGACAGGGGACCTGAGGGGAACGTGTACTCCCAGTCAACCTTTTCTTAAAACATTCAAGTTTCTTTGAAGGGTCTGCTACTTTCCTAAGCATATTCATTCATTTATTTATCAGTGAATAAGCTTTTCTAACCCATCCACTAAAAACATCTTGGGATGGCTTACAAAAAATGAGTAGAATAAAACAAACTCTACAGTATCTGACAATTGGTACACTAAAACTCCAGCTAAAATCAATTAAACATTAAAATGGTGGGAAAACAAAAAGGGTTTGGCCTGACGCTGAAAATAATATAATGTTGGCACCAGGCAAACCTCTCTGGGGAGCGTATTCCACAGTCGGGGCGCCACCACAGAGAAGGCCCTCCTCCAGGTAGCCACCCTCCTAATCTCTTTCAAGGAGGGCTCCCGGAGCAGGACCTCCACCTCAGATCTCAAGGGGAGGGAAGACACATAGGGAAGAAGGCTCTCCTTCAGGTATCCCAGACCCAAGCCATTTAGGGCTTTACAGGTTATCACCAGCACCTTAAATTGGGCCCGGACTTCAATTGGTAGTCAGTGTAACTGGTAGAAGACCAGAGTTATACGTGAAAACCTGCCGGTCCCCGTTAACATCCTGGCAGCCCTATTCTGGACCAATTGAAGTATCCGGACCATCTTCAAGGGCAGCCTCATGTAGAGTGCATTACAGTAATCTAACCTACCGTAATTTTGTTCTGATGACCAAAGCTCTCATTATTGGAAGGTATTTCTCAGTGTCCAACCTACAGGGCCACAGTGGGGAACCTACTGGTCCTATTTTGGTACAGTAACCCTCAAGCAGAATATTGCATGCTCCCCCCAAGCCCCCCCCCCCACTGCCTTGCTCCAGCAGGATGGCCCTGTGCAGGCACTCCACAGAGTATCACCAACCACTTTGGCTCATGGGGAGAGCAGACGACCAGAGCACGGTCTACCCATGACCACCGTGAGTGCCCCACTGGCTGCCAGGCTGCCTGATCACTCTGACCGTCTCAGGGCTGTTCAGAAAGTCAACACAACTTCCATGGCAGGATAAAAAAAGCAAGCATCTCACCTGCAGCCACTCCTAAGAGTTCTATTTTTAAAAAATGAGGGCTCAGGGCAGGTGTCTTTCCAGCCAGCACACTGAAGCCATTGTCTTCTGAAAGAAAGCTCGTGCTGTAAGTTGAGGCCACTGGTAGTGGGAGGGGATTTTTGGCAGGTGTGAAGCAGAATCCTTTGGTAACAATGAATGCAATGTGAGGGCGACATTGCAGCAAATCTCTACAGAATTGATAGGTGAATATTGTAGACGATAAATGGGTGGAAGGGTGCCAAAGACAATCATGCAAGGGCATAATATTGTGATTTTCGGACTGTACATGTCTTAGCTGGAGGGGGAGGGGATATTGTGTATACTGAGCATCACAATCCTTTTGAAGAACACTCGTTCTATAGGCTTACAAAAGGGGCTTTATTTGTTAGAGGTGTGCCAAATGAGAATCTGATTCGAAGATAAATACATAAGGAAAGTCCAGTGCATAGGCTGGGTCTCTCAGACAGCTGCTGCAAACAAAAAGGTGCAACTGAAACGGACAGTCAGAGAAGTACAAAGGGAAAGCCATGCTTGCCTGAAGATGCTGGGCTTTCCTGATGGGACCCTTAACTCTCCTGCTGTGCCCCTTTGCAGTCCAGGCCTCTCCAGCTGTGCCTGAAGCAACATCCCGTCTATGACCAGCAGAGGCAGAGCAGCATGCTTCCATCCTCCGGCCGCTCTTTGGCTTGTGGCCTGCGTGTGGCCAGGCCACCTGTGGACTTCCTGTGGGACTTCCTGTGGGAACAGAAAGTTGGACTACTTGCGTTTCTGGTCTGATCCAGGTGGGCTCATGTTCTGTTGCAAATAATTTTGGGTGAAGCGAGTGCAGAGAGGCACCAACCTCCCTGAAACTGTGGAGGCTGAAAGACTTTAGCAAAATGCACAGCCATTTTGTACAGCATCAGTCCTCCTAATAGTACACGCAGGGGAGGATGTCAGGGGTCCCCAGACTTCTTCAAACTGTGGGCATAATTGGGGATTTGAGAAACTTCAGGGGGTACCACTGTGAAATGTCTAATCAGTGAATTGCTGCTTTGGTGCCTACCCACCACATCTGTGGACCTTAGGATGTACTTTATGCTGCAAAAAATGTTTGCTTCATGTCTTTTGAAGCACTGCAACTTCTCTTTGATAAGGCATTGCTAAATTCAGTGAGGGTATTTAGGTTACCTATATTTAAATATAGGTTATTTAACACACACACACACACGTACGTACATTTTGGCAATGTCCAGTAGTTACTTCTTTTGAGAAGGAAGTTATTACATAAATATATTTTGTACTGGGATAGTTCATCTCTGCTGATGTACATTTTGGTGTACATCATCAAAATCAAAAATATTAACCTGTTTCATGGAGATCAACCAATGGAAGAGAAAATGGACTCTCTTTTGTGCCTTTTTGACAGCTTCTCTTTTACAAAATTGGAAAGAGAAACACTATCTCTTATCATGTGATGAATTCAGGACCTTACAATGCTTTCATTCTATGGACGTGTGGCATATTCAACTTCAAATGGTTGCTTATTCAGATATATAGTCTACTTGGTTGAAGCCTCTGCATAACTGCTAGGAAACTGTGTACATTTCATTCGAGTCTATGTACATATCTTTAAAACATGGAAAATATTAAAGAAGCAGTTAAAAACAGGTGTGAAGAGTGTCACATGCAACTGCAAGGACTACCAAGCCTGTAGCCCAAATGGGGAGGAATGGAATGCTTTGCTTAGAAGGAGCAGCTGATGAGAAGTCTTATCAGGAGGACTTTGTATTGAAGGAGGATGGACCTGTTCTTGCAGGTCTCATGGGTGGGGACACTGCTTGTGGTTGTGTTCCTTTGTTGGTCCAGTTGTATGTGTCTGTCGCACTGCATACACTGTCACTGCAACACTGGAGTTCATTAGCAGGGGCTCAAGGTTCCCAGTCTATCCACTGTTGCTACCAGCAGCTATTCGAGCAGGCAACACCAAAAAAGGTGAGAACCAGAGGGAAGAAACCTGGCCACTCCAGCAACCCTGATGAATGCCTACTTAATGTTTCCCTCTTCCCTTTCCATCCCCCTTTCCCTTTGTCTCACGCATTTTATATCAGAAGCTTTCCGGCAAGTTTTACTGATTGCTCTGGCAGCCTTTTTGGCTATGGAGTGGAATAAAAATTCTTCAAATGTTTTCAGCATATCAGGGTGTGTTTCACCAACTACAACAGTCTCTGGTTCATTTTGAAGCTCAATTAAAAGCCCATTTAGAGTTCTTCACAGTTTGGAATCAGGGTACCAGAAGCATTACCTGTCTCTGCATCCATCCACCTACATTTTGAAGGTCTCAACTGAAGTCCTTCTCCAGTTCTTATCTGAACTGCAGTAGAAGACTTTCAGGAAGAGGGCCTTTTCAGTAGTGGCACCATGTTTTGGGAATGCTGTCCCCAAAGAGCCTTAACTGGCACCCATTCTGATGTATTTGTGGCACAAGGTCAAGACCCTTCTAATTTCCCCACCTTTTAAACACTTGTTGATCTGTTTTACTTGGATTATTCTCAAGTTGCTTTTCTAGGTGTGCTGTTTTTAATTTATCTGAATTCACTAATTCTTTTACAATGTTTCAGTGTTTTAATTGTAAACTTTTTGACTACACTTTTTGGAAAAAAAATCAAATAAACACAATCAAATAGTTCCACATGCCTGTCCCTCC